TTTCCTGGCCACAAAAAAAAATCGTCTTCCTTTTCTTGAAACACTCATAATAAAAACATTTCCACTTCTGCTGCATATTTAACCAGCTAACTGTGCAAAACATGCCATAAAACATGTCCCCTGTTGTCACCACTAGGGGCAGAGAATGGCTGCCATGTCAGAATTTTCTCATCAAATAAAAATTAACTAGTTGTGKTGCCTGAAGGAATCTCAAAGCTGATTGGCTTGCTCTACAGTCAATCAAATGATGCAGTTTGTGGGTGGGTCATCCTCAACAATACTGTCCAAGATCTTAAAGGGGCAATATCATGTAAAATCAACTTTTTTTGAGTTTTACATCATGTTATAATGTTATACTCTCATTAAAAAACATGCCCAAAGCCTTGCTTTGACTCATTCATGCATGTTTGAGAAATCCTGCAGTGTTTTTAGGAAGCCATGCTGAGGAGCAAAACGACAGGTGGGGACCAGAAACACCTTTGGGGACCAGAAACGCCCCTGGGACGTGTCTTTAAGCCGAACTTCCTCATGGCGGAGCACCCCACCCCCATCCCCCTCCCTCCCGCTCCACGACTCCGGCAGGCTACGTGCTGAAATTGGCGTGACCAAAGTGGTTGGATTTTCTCAAAGAGACAGAGACCTATTTCAAGGCGTTTAGAAACTGTCAAGATGAGAAGTAAATTGTTTTGGGGATTTTTTACTAATATATAGCTCTTTCATAAGCTGAAAATGTGACATAGTTACTTTGTTTCAGTATAAAATTTAAATATAGGCTTAGAAAGCACATGATATCGCCCCTTTAAATCATCATGAGTTTAATAATTGACAATCTTTGTGACAGCTAAGGTAAGTGCTTCAGGCATTCCAATGACACTTGCTGGTTTTTGAGGCTGGAGGTTTGCTTAGAAAATACCAACAAGATCTGGTAATTTGTCCTTTTAAAAGGGAACATTGTCGTGTTTAATTTGGATGCCACAAAAAGCTAGTGGAATGGGAAGATGTTCCATGCACCTTCATGCAGCAACAAAGCATTTGGTAGTTTTGTGAGAGAAATGCTGAAAAGATTCACTTAAGGATAGTTCAAAACTTTTCAATTCCAGGTGATGTGTGGTCAATGGAAAGTATTTTCCAAAAAAGAGTTGGTTTTACTTCTATGTAAATATTCATACAATATTTCAGGCACTAAATAAGAGCTCAAACCATGTACAGAATATTCTAAGAGTTGCTCAGAGTCATCATTATCTAATTTGAATAACTGGCCAGAAAGCAATAACATCATGGGAGGAATAAAGAGTGAGTGCAATGAACTATGTTGYCTGCTAAAGTCCCAATTTGAACGCTCCTATTTTACCTGGGTTTGGGAAAAGTGACTGATAGACACTTGGATTTTTTTAGTGCAGTGGTTTTGTTAAACAAATCAAAAAACACAGACACAGCGTTTACAGTGGCACCTTTGCACATACTGCATGTGATTCAATAGCAGTCTAGATGTGGAGGGGTGCACATCTCCTGTTCTGCTGCTGGGAGGGATGCTGCTTAAGGTCCGGACCACCTGTTAGTTCTTTGCACTTGCTGCTCGTTGAGAAGTGTAAAAACGATATGCGTTTTCACGTCAGAGTCTCGAAAAGTCTGTAGTAACACCAGAATAAGTAACTGAATGTGTCAGTATTCGGTGTTTAGAAAGTGTCGCTAGAGCGGTCTGTGTAAAGCAACAAGTTGGCAACACTGATTTCATGTAAATAACAGTGACTGACGATGATGCAAAGGTTTATAAAACAACATTTCCATGAAACTCTGTGAAATTTTATTGAGAATGGTTTTAGGATGGCAGCAATCCAATTTGGTGCCGCTCATGTTCAGACTTGTTCTTAGCTTGTTATTCTGGGTCAGAAATAAACTCTATTTCTACAACCTGAGGTTGCTGAATGAGCTATCTACAAGATTAGATATTAGCTGTTCAGAACTTTCTGCAGAACCCCACTTCAAAAGGTCCAAACAATCCCTTTAATTACATTGATTTTAACCACACAAAAGAGTTGAAGCAAAGACTAAAATGTGTGAATAAATGCCTGCAGCAATGGCAGAGACTCCTCTTATGCACATATAAAAGCAACTTGTATCCATTTAAATTTCCATCAAAATGACCTCTGCACTTAACAGACAGACTTCAGGCTGTAAGTAGAAATCTACCATTATCCCTCTCAGCTGCATGTGTTAAGCTTCTTAACAGCCAGCAGAAGGAGAGCTTGTTGCCATGGCTTCATATTGTCTGAAGTGCATAAAAAAAAGCAAAGACAGCTGAAATGACTAAGTGGGCCGAGAGGAAAAATAATAAACGGAGAGGAGCTGGGCTAACAATGACACTGATGTATCACTCGCTTGTTGTAACTTGGAGTCAATTACCCTGTCAGTCYGTTCCCAGTGATGTCACAGGAAGTTTTTAGAAAAGCGATTTGAATACATTAGCCTGGTTGTTTCTCTGTGAAGAATGTTTCCGGTGACCCACTCTATACGCTGCTAAGCTCGTTTGTCTCGTGCGAGGGTGTGATTTGTTTCTCACCCTGTCAACAGGATGTCAAGCGGTTGTAAATCAGTCACAGCCACGTTTATCAGATGGGATTGTTGAGCGCAGCTTGTTTTTCTTCGGCCAGCTGTTAAAGCTTCCACTCTCCCATCACTCGCTGGTGTGAGCCCGGGTGCAGCAGTGAGGCTGTTGCACGTTCTCCATCAGCCCCCGGAAGGGATTTCTCCTGCGTCGGCTCCCCTTACCGTCCTCTTCTTCTTTCTTCCTCGCCCGGCCCTTACCGGGCCCCACCTGCCCCACCTCTGAGGGCTCCGGCGGTGCGACTGAGGACTGCTGCTTCTGTTTCAGCACCTGCTTCTCCAGGTGTTTCTGGATGGCCGAGCCCAGCACGGCTACTTCCACCACTGCCCCGTACACTTCCCACGTCATCCCTTTCTCGTCCCAGCTCACCTCCTGCACTGGCTCCTCGCTCTTCTCCTCATCTTCTTCCTGAGAGTTTACATCGGTTTTGTCTTCCTCTTTTTTTACTTCTTCCTCTTCACGTTTCTTCTCTTGGCACTCAGTCGGYTGTTCTTTTTGGTTCTCCTCCTCTTCCTCCTTCTCCTCCTGTATCTTCTCCTCTATGCTCACTTCTTTCTTGATCTCAGGAAAGGTCATAGCAATGGGAGTTCTTGGGGTCATGGGTGCCGTCGCAACAGAGCGGTATTCCACCTGCTGACTCGCCTGCATCTCGGCGTCTTTTGTCCCTGCTCCGTCGGACCCATACTTCCCAAAGGAGCTGGGAAAGTAGAAGGCCTGGTCCCCTTCAGGGGGCRTCATGGGACTGGTAGCTACAGAGTGACACTGCACCACCTCCAGACTCACCTGTGTTCGGATGTTGTGGCAGCCGTAGGGGGCTGGAGATTCAGGAGGCTTTGTGCCGGAAATGTCGATCGCCTTTTCTCCTGTGCCCGTGTTCTCGGTGAGCTCTGAATTTTCAGCTTCACTGCAGTCATTTTGTTCCTCGGGTTGTTTTTGGTTTGGCTTTTCAGGAGCTTCCTTTCTATCCTCACATTTCTCTTCCTCGTATTCTTCAATTTTCACCATCTCTTGATCAACTGGAGGAAAGTGTGACTCTTCCTTATTCTCGTCTTCCTCCTCATTGTTGCCATGTTGGGTCACCAGGATTGTAATGTCTTGATCCATGCTGCCCATCCTCTGCTGCTTACACTGCTGTTTACCATCGTCAAAKGTCCCCGATGAATGGATTGATCCAGGAGCCAGACAGCCGGTGGAACTCCCTCCAGATTCTGTTTCCACCTGACTTTTTGTTGCTGCAAAACTTTCTTGTTCCCGGCAATGATTTTGCTCCTTATCCGTTCTCATTCCCTTCTGCGCTGCCTCTTTCCCAACGAGCATCGGGAAAGCCGTGGTAGACGGCGTCTTCGGGGTCATGGGGGAGGTGGCGACAGAGCAGAACTCCACTTGCTGACCCACCTGCAGCTCTGCGTCTTTGGTGTCAGCAGCAATGCCCTCGCATTTCGCAAAAGAGCTCGGGAAGAAGAAGGATTGGCCACCTTCGGGGGGAGTCATGGGGCTGGTGGCTGCTGAGTGACACTGGACCACTTCCAGACTCACCTGAGTGCGCATGTGTTGCTGACCGAAAGGGGCTGGTGAACGTGGGTCCGAGGGGTCTGGAGTCGGCRGCACTGACACTTTCTCTCTGTCACTTTTGTCCTCAGGGTCACCATGACTCTGGGGCTTGATGGAAACGGCTGCATYGTTTTGCGTGGCTGTGGTTTGATGAGCTGTGGGTTGCGGTGTCAGAGGCATTACATCAGACTTTGCACAGGCTTTTGCTCGCTCAGAGACCGACGGTTCAGGAGTTCCACCATCCACCCCTGAGAGCCCTTGATCTTTGGATGTCAGGGTTTTGTCTCTCTCCCCCTCAGAGCTGCCACTCATGTGCAGACTGGGCTGATACTCCTCTTGACTTGTTGACTGTTGACTTGTGTGTCGCTGATGTCCCTCGCCAGCACCGCCGCTCTCTGAGCTTGCCTGATGTCCCCAGTTATCAGACTTCTTTGAAGACTGGTGGTCCTCTCCGAGACCTTTTTTCTCATCCTTAAGACTTCCCATTCTGCCTCTTCATGAAAGYGGTAAAATAACCTGCAGGGGCACAGACAAGGCGTTTGTGCAAACTGTAATCAGAGACCGGAGCCCACGCATGAGCCGAAGATAGAAAAAAAGCAGCTTGTTTTATGTGATGAAAATATTCTGCGATACAAAATCAGTGCCACAAATGTAATCATAGATAACTCTCATTGCAAACAAAACACCCCAGGAACTTCTATTTAATAATTTATTAACTCGTTTTACCATGACACAATTTTGCTATTAAGTTTTTAGCCCCGATAAATCAGCGTAGCTCATATTTGGGTTCTAGTATCATCATATATAACTAAAATTTCTTGCAAAGGTAATATTTTTGGGGTCTGAAAAGCAAATAGGAGAAAACAAACTGTGGAAAATCAAAGTCAAAGACGCATACCTCAGCAGCAAAGCCGCACTGAAGCCTCTCCACAACTCTTCTTCAGAATTAGGTCAAACATCACAAATCTCAGTGGTGATTGAAGGCGACATCTGTCCGTGCTGCTCCGCTGTTTGATTKATTCTGATAGCGCTGGCTACAGGTTTGTCTCTAGAAGAATCTATCTTAGGCAATCCTCGCTCTTTAGGCTGGGGCTTGTGTGTGTCTGTGTGTGTGTGCGTGTCTATTGAAAAGCTTCACATTTCCAGTTTCCCTGGAAACCACGGTCGGGCTCTCTGGCGAGCRAGTTGTAATGTAACGACAGAAATCTCTGGTCTTCTCTTTAAATAAAGGGGAATCACAGTAATTAACCACAGGTTCTCCTCACAACACAATGGTAACTGCAAACGGATGAACCGGTGGTCTGGTGAGGTGGCTGTGCTGGAAAAAAAAACCCTTCAAAGAGACATAAAGTGATAAATGATCACGCCATCAGAAGTGATCAGTGTGAGTTCTAATGGAGGAAACTTTGAGTTGTCAAAGAGAATTATTTATTTTTAACTCTGGAAAATGGTCGTATTATATCAACAACTGCAGAAAGGTGATGCAGATAATGTTGTTTCTCAGGCCTGTGTGGTTTTGTGTGTCTATCTGTTACCATGATATTTCATCAACAACTGGATGACCTTTAATAAAACTTACAAAAACTAATCAGTGGCTGCACATCTACAACTGAGTAACCTTTTGGAGTTTATCCAATTAAAGTTGTCTACCACAGTCAAYTGACCTTCAAGGGTACGTATCATGCAAAATCCACTTTTTTGTAGCTGTTAAATACAATATGTTGTAGTGCACATATCTTTATATTCTGTTTGGGTCTTATTTTTCAACTTATTCAGTTTTCTCTATTTTCTATGATATTTTCTGAACTAATATGTCACAGTATACAATGGGAAATCCAAATAAGGTCTGGAATTACTAACTACAGTTTGGTCATCTTCATTCTCCTCTTGTTCTGGGTCAGATGCTGGCTCCAAGATATAAGGCTGGATGGACAAGTCGTCTGCTGTTCTTCTCTTAAACCCCTCTGCCAGTCCTTATATGGGCTTTTAGCATCATGAAAATAAAACAACTTAAATACAGTTTACAAAGAATAAAACACTTCAATTATAAGACAATTCATAAAACATCATTTAAAAACAGATATTAACAACATGCTAACATTCCAATGCTTTAAGCGTACAAAAACTAAATTAAGTGCTCTTGAACCCTTTAAAATAAATTCACAAGCTTAGTCTCTTTTTGAAGCTATTAATCTGAGTTTTTAACTTCAGCCATATTTTCAGTCATAATTTTGTAACCATAATTAGTATTTAGTTTTTGAAGTTAAAATACATTAGAATCACACAATTTTAAGGTGTCCCAGAACAAGAAAGGAGCATGGATCAAGTAAATAAATATACTAGGGATCAAAAAGAAAAAAATTGTATAGGTCTTCTGGACGGGTTCTTCTCTAATGAAACGTTTCGTCTCTCCTCCAAGAGACTTCTTCAGTCTGAGAG